CTTAATTCGTTTTATCCTTGAAAAGGCCCTATTTGTAGTTGATATACCCTAAAAGGACCCTTATTTAGCAAAAGTTATGATTGTACAGGAAACTAATACATATAAAAATGCTGTGCAATGGCAGTGGGTGTTAATAGATATCGAGTTATATGAACATAATACACCTCAACCGTTGATAATCAAAACATTTAAATCAATGTTAAACTCTACTGAGTTTGAGTTGTTGGTGCAGTCAACCATACCATATGTTGTTTTAACCCATATGACTAGTGGGACCTATGACTAGTGGGAGGACACCCTAAGAGTTATTCCCCTCTTATGTGCTTCTATAGTTCCTTAAAATTGTTGCTTGGGCCTTGGAAAGCCCCTAAATACCTTAATTAAAGTGATGGCTGATAATCTGTACAATCCCTGTAATACACACTGGTCAGTGTTGAATGTCATGTGACAGGCAATACATCCAGTGCTGAATGTCTGTACATAACAAGTATTACTCACATCTGTATATACATGTAACAGGTCCTATGCCCTTAGATGAATATCTGTATATATAGATATTATTACACGTACAAGTGTGTCATATCACTTATACAAAAGGAGAGTGACATTTTTTGCACTTCGTATAAGTCGTGTGGCACACTTGCCAGTGTAATAATTTCTTTATTATCCATTTTATTCATGTACATTTGTGCAGTAAAACACGGTAAACACGACAGCCCTGTTCATTGACGTCACGTTCAGTTGTTTAATGACGTCACATACGATGATATAAGGAAACAGTGGTTGCTAGGCAAAAGTGATATGTGCACATGTGCAGATATGATATATATGACACTGGTTATGTTTCACCATACGGATAATACAACCGGTTATTAACCCAGTTAATTGAACTGTTCAAATGATGTGAGTAACAGTTTGATGAACCATGCAATTTCTTAAGAGTTTTCTTAGTGTTAAAATGCCCAAGTGAAGCCCATTCGTGGTGTTATATAGGTGGCTTAAAACCCACTCACTAATTCAAGGAATGACGATTGAATAAGCAAAATCCAAACTAACTTCCTGTTGGAAGTGGTATGTGTAGACAGAATGGAAATCTGTCGAGCGCCATCATCCTGCGTAACCAAAAAGGAAATATGAGAATATTTCGACCTGTACCCTTCCGGACATGAATGCTAAAGGCACACTTTTATCCGCTGGTGTTTCGTAAGCGTGAACACAAAGTTCTTTTTTCATGCTCTGAGTGGCCGCTTCCTTTTGTGTATGCACGCATGAGACATTAATATGAACCACTTTCACTGATGATTATAATTAGACTTGATCAACTGCGAGTGACACTCAGCGCCGGCCAGTAGAGCGTGCAAGGTGAGCCATGGCCTGTTCTTCATTTCATTTTCTTATTGTCAACATTTGTCTTTCATGATTAGTGCATCCTGACGCATGTATACTAGTTATATAAGTTATAAAGTTGCAAGGGATTGACGAAGGTGTAACTATCATCGTGTTTAAAATCTGTGGTATCAGTGGAGACAATTTTCATGAATTTCATCTTCTTTGAAGAAGAATAAAGTCTTCACTTACGGTGTTTTGGTATAAGGTGCTGTTATCTTTTCAACAACCCCCTTCAAAACTACTATTTCTCTGAGACGAGAAAGTATGATGACATATAAATTTAGAAACTTTTGAATTTTGTGGTATACATATACATGTCTGGTTCATTCATCTTGGAGTGGAAGTTGGGAAGTGCAATATTGAACAAACTTTAGGGTAGTTAAGATACATTCAGGTGAACGCTATGTATCTTAGCTAACTTTAGTGATACCATCTTCGTTAATTTATACGTTTCACAGATTCTTGTGCCGTTGTCAAGCAGGAATTTTACTCACAAAATAAAAGAAGTTGTTATCCATAAAGTTTTTTCAATATGGTTCATTCATGACCGAAGTATTTCCCAGGCAAAACAAAGCCAGGCAATTGCTGACATATATAGGGCAAGTAAGAAGAGTTGAAGGGGAAAATGAAACTTGTGCTGAATAAAACAGTGACTAACTCCCATCTGATGTTCCGGAACTGTCTGTGTGTAGCTTCATATGGTTAAACTGTGTTGCTGCATATAGCTGAACTGTGTAACTGAATATACTAGTTGAACTGTGTGTGGGGCGGTGGGGTAGTCCTGTGGTTAAAGCGTTCGCTCGTCACGCAAAGATCCGCCGGGTCGATTCCCCACGGGTACAATGTGTGAAGCCCATTTCTGGTGTCCCCCGCCTTGATATTGTTGGAATATTGCTAATAGCGGCGTAAAAATTAACTCGCTGAACTGTGTGTAGCCATGCATGGTTGAAGCATGGCGAACGCTTTAACCACTAGGCTACCCCACCAGGCTACCACTTCCTTGTCATATTTAGACATAACTCACTCTCAAGTGCATTCATTGACCCATCTGTGAGAGGGGGAAGAACTCCACATAGTTAAACAAAGGAGCTCATCATATGTTTGTTAACACCAAATAACATTGCAGTGGTGAGAGGAAACATAGATGTAGTGAATGTATACTTCAGATCAGTGCATCTGGACAGTGCTGAATATACACATAAATGTTTGGAATTTAGACGTAGATAAGGAGATTAGACAAAGGTGTGGTGTGTTCAGACAAGAAGTGGTGATTGAGGAAATAGTGAATATATACATACAAACGGATGTATACAGACAGAAGAGGTGAATACAGATATGTTCTGTCAACATCCTAGAAAATCTAAGCATGGTGTAACGCTATTTGTCAGAGATACGTCAAGCTAGTCAAATATGACCAGCTAAGCAGCTTATGTCCAAGAGAATTGCCGGCCATCATCTTCATTTACCTAAAAGCAGACAGGATAGCCAAGCAAATGGGGAGCAGGCAGACAGCGGGAAGAGCGCGGGCAGAGCCCGGGCAGACCTGCAGAAGGCAGAGACAAGGAGGGACGCCACTACGACTCGTGTTGTGTGAAGAATGCCAGAGGTGTTACAACAGAGGAAGATTAATTTTCAACATTGAACTGCTTTGTGAAAAAAGTAAAAGAGTGTAATACTTTGCACTTAAAGATAAACAGTGTCAAATGATATTTAACAGTGTATGTTGTAAACACATTCTAACAAGGATGTGCTCAGGGCAAACAGTGACGGATGACGATCTGAAACTGCCACTACTCTGACGCAGGTTGGCCTCGGGTCAACGAACACTTCATTAACTCTGACTTAAGTTACACCATATTAACTGATGTCAAGAGTTACAGGTGCTGTGACTGTATCGTATCACACACGGCGATGTTAACGTTTCCAAACGAGGTCCTCCCCAAACACACTCTTTCGTCGTCTTTTGCCCTCGGACACCGGTTTCCACAGCGCGCCAGACAATCCCTTATTGATGAAATATAGGGGTTTTTTTTATCATTTAGAACTTAACACCCTGAGACACTTTTATACTCCTGTACTAAATACGTTAGATCAGTTCCACAGACTGACCTTCACCTGATTATTGTAGTGCAGCTAGACACAGCTGCTTGCGTGTTAGGTCTACCCCCACACAGACAATACCAGGAATTGTACTGGGTCAGTACTGGGGAACTAGGTCAACGGCCAAGTGACGTACAGGTTCTTCTTTTAAAATTCATGATTAAAGTACAAGTATCAGTTTTGTTCAAATTTTTATGTGTATGATGATTTCTTGATCGGTCAGATTAATAAGATTACTGAATTTAGTGTCTTACATTTAAGGCAAAGTCAATACAAATTCAAATATATATTTTCAGACGCCCGATGCGAGGAGCATTAAGATGAGACGACCGTGTCCCTTCCTCCATCCCTCGGGGCGCGGCGCTGTCGGTGTAAAGCACGTACGTGACTCATCCAGCCAGATACCTACTTAAAACCCACCTCGAACAGGAAATTAACACACCTTGAGGTACAGCGTACAGATGTACACATAGCATGTGACTCGGAGCACAATGTGTACACACAATTTGTGACGCAGCCTATAAGTGAACATATTTCTTTGACAAAGCGTACAGGTGTGAACATCTTGTGACGCAACGTACAGGTGTATTCACAGGTGTAGTCGCGTATAGGTGTACACAGCAGGGGGAGGGCGACATGGCATAGCTGCCCGTCTCTACTGCCTCTGTACCGACAGTTCCTGTGGTTTGCATATTTGTAAACATGATTTGTTCAATCAAGTGGAATGAGAATATGTTGCTTTGTTTTGCTAAGAATATATTAATCATACACAGCCTATAGGACACAATCACATAATGAACAACACCTACGTTTTCATTGCCTTCACCGGAAGTCCAGCGACCTTTACCGACCTTGTAGGACTTCCGTTTCTTATTCTCATGGGGATCACGGAAATCGTTCTTAACATGGTCGTGCTGGTGGCTCTGCGCTCCTCCCGAGACGACGCCTCCAACTCCTTCATTGTGAACCTGGCCATGGCCGACGCCCCTGACCGGCCTCATCGTCATCTACAACAGTGTGTACACTATGCTTGAGTGGAAAGATGTCCACGAATGTCTCTTTCAGGTTTGGGCTTCTGATTGGTGTAAACATGGCGTCTGTACTCAGCATTATGTTGCTCCACAGTGGACAGATATGTCAAAATCAAAGACCCATTCCGTCACAAACGAGTGTTCACGTCCAAGAGAGTGACAGCGTTGAACACCTCTGTGTGGGTGTTGGCCCTGACGCTGGCATTGCTGCCTGTAGCTGGATGGAACTGGTCACAACAAGTGAAGCAGACGTGTAACTTCTTCACCGTATTCTCCACTAGCCATCTCGTGACTGTTGTGGTCATATTTGTGATACCTCTGGTTGCCATAGTGACATTGTTCACACAAATCTACGTTCTGGCCAGGAAGCACGCCATGGCAATACACGCCCAGCTGTGTCGGACGAGTTCAGGCAACACGCCAAGGTCGACGCTCAGGTTCGCCAAGACAGTGGGCATCATCATCGGCATGTATATCCCAGTGTTGGGCGCCTGTAGGTAGGTACTGCTAGTATTCTCAGCCAAAGTTCGTAGGAGCAACTGTCTGGATAAACATACAAGTCCATGGTTTCTAATTGACTTACGTCTTACCTAATGCAAGGTTGTTTGCTCTTAACATTTCCACTACCCAAAAGGCAATTTTGGTATTGCATATACATATATGTAATGCACTGAGTTTCCATTTCGCACAGTTATCACCCAAGTAAAACTGTATCGCTTCCTGCATGTAAATGAGACTTCGTAGACAGCAGTCCGCCTCATTAGAACATTAATATTGTACACTTAGTCCATTGCATTGCTTTTGAAACAGGAAAGACTCCATATCACCGAGAAAGGTCGAGAAGGTCGCCCGTTGTCATGTAGCCAAATTTACGTGGGATTGTGTGCGGGCCTCGTAGTGAGCAACTGTTTTTCTTTCCCCAGGCACATACCTCCTCCTAGTCCTGATTGACCGTTCCCTGGTTGAAGACACAGGGGTCGACCTCGGTGCCGTCCTCACCTACACAGCCGGTGTCGGCTTCCTCAACAGCCTCATCAACCCTCTAGTGTACGCCATCAAGATCCCTGCGGTAGGCCGGGTGTTCAGGAGAGTGTGTTGCTGTTGGTGCTGGTCTGATCCTACCCCTTCCGCCAGACACAGTGTGTACACCCTGGCTAATGTGGGGCTGGTACCCTTGACTCCGGACGACGCAAGGTGATGTACGCCAGACACCGGGTGATGTACGCCATACACCCTGTGATGTACGCCAGACACCGGGTGATGTACGCCATACACCCGGTGATGTATTCCAGACACTGGGTCCGGGTGATTTACGTCAGACACCTGGTTATGTACAACAGACACCCTGTGATGTAAGCCAGACACTTGGTCCGGGTGATGTAAGCCAGACACTTGGTCCGGGTGATGTACGTCAGACACCTGGTTATGTACAACAGACACCCGGTGATATATTCAAGACACTGGGTCCGGGTGATGTACGCCAGACACCTGGTGATGTACGAGACACCCGGTGATGTATTCCGGACACTGGGTCCGGGTGATGTACGCCAGACACTGGGTCCAGGTGATGTACGCCAGACACCCGGTGATGTATTCCAGACACTGGGTCCGGGTGATGTACGACAGACACCGCTGATGTACGACAAACACCCGGTGATGTATTCCAAACACTGGGTCCGGGTGATGTACGACAGACACCTGTTGATGTAATGATAGACACGTGATGCCGACATTAACCGCCATGGTCAGTTCGTATGGAATCCGGAGAGGAAAAAATAATTTATGAATATTAAATCAGATTTGACATAATAAAATGTTAAACAGTTTAACATGTATGTATCGTGTCGGTATGTCTCTTGTTGACACACAGTGAAGCCTCGTTATCACATGAGTCAAAATAGAGACAGAAGCACACGTAAAACCCTCGTGTTAATAACCTCTCACACAGCGTTCATTTACAACTAGCCACATTGGGTAATATAATACAATTCATGTGTGTATATATTTTAGAATATCGCTTTAATCTAAATGGACAACAAACATGGCGATATTAATATTTCCTTGTTAATATATAATATATGTCACTGAATGACTGGTCCAAGTTCGTGATTCATGAGTGACAGTGTCAGAGCGAAAATGTCAGCTTTGTCCAGAGTAGGGAGGCATTATATAAAAAATACACAGGAAGCGGAGAAATAATAACGACAAAAACGTAAATAACACTAATACCGCGATCGACTGTATTATAGCCAGACGAGGTTGATAGCGAGGTAGATAGTGTAGGCCAGGGCAATCTAGGTGTGGGTAGGTAGTGTAGCCAGGTGTAACCTAGGGAGTGGGTAGATAGTGTGGAGGCTAGTGTGGGTGGGGGCAGTGTAGGGCCAGGTGTAATCTAGAGTGGGCAGATAGTGCAGGCTAGGTGGGTAAGTAAGTGTAGGCCAGGTGTGCAATCTAGGAGTGGGCAGATAGTGTGGTGGCCATAGGCAGTGCAGGGCCTAACCCAGGGAGTGGGTGCAGATAGGGCAGCACAGGTGGGTAGGTAAATGCAGGCCAGGGTGCCATCTTAGGGAGCGGGGTAGATAGGCAGCAGCCAGGTGGGTAGGCAGTGTAGCCAGGTGTAATCTAGGAGCGGGTAGATAGTGTAGGCTAGGTGTGGCAGGTAGCGTGGTAGGCCAGGTGCAATCTAGGATAGGGCAGATATGTAGGCTAGGGTGTGGGTAAGCAGTGTAGGCCAGGCGTAATCTAGGAGTGGGTAGGATAGGGCAAAGTGCAGGGCTATGGTGTGGGTAGTGTAGGTCAGGTGCACCAGGAGTCAGATAGTCCCAGGCCAGGGTGTGGGTAAGTAACAGTGTAGGCCAGGCGTAATCTGTGGGTAGATAGCACATGGGTAGGTAGTGTAGGTCAGGTGTAACGCTAGGAGTCGGTAGATAGTAGCCAGATAGGGTGATAGATAGGGTCCTGGTGTAACGCAGGTGTGGGTAATAGACAGTGTAATCCAGGTGCAGGTTGGCTGCGTTCGCCAGTTCTAGATCTGTAGTAAGCGCACGTAAAGCACTTCGTGGTCATGAAACGGTGGTGGAACACTCCAGGCTATGGGCTTAACTACCCACTGGGAATTGTATGCAATCTTTGGTATTTCTATAACAATAATAATAATCCATTTGATACGCGCTGAATCCATGCAGTACATTCTCTAAGCGCACATGTCCGAGAGGAGACGAGAAAAGCCGCCACAGAGAAGGCAAGTCTGAACAGGAAGGTTTTGAGATGGGTCTTAAACAATGACAATGATTCACACTCTTTCAGGTACTGTGGCAGAGAGTTAAAGGCTTAAAGCCGGGTTTCCATATGCGCGCAGTGCGTGATGCGTAGTACGTAATCCGATCTTCATATCATGTCAAGTTGCAAAGTTCCGTTTTGAATATGATTTAGTCAAACTGTTGATGTAGCATATGATTTAGTCAAACTGTTGATGTAGCACATCACATAGCCTTTATACACGTACACATGGAATGGGACACTACGCACACGTCATACGCACTACACATCACGCAATTACGAAGACAATACGTACACATGGAAACCTAGCTTAAGTGACTGAATATACTAATGTTCTCTCCTCATAGCGATATTATAAAACACCTTTGTGTTTAACTCTCTAATCTGTTTATGTTAATGTCAATGAAGTACGTGACAAAAAGTTTAAATTTCTTAAGTGGCAGAAGCAGGAATGAAAATGTTTGTTTAGTCGGTCCAAACAATTAACAACAAGAACTTTACGAAGTAATGACTGTCGATAAAAACCTGTTAAATATATAGCCTACTGTTCCTACGAGACACTAATTATGGGAATATGTATGTTTATCGACTCGATTAACTAATGAAGTAATGACTGTCGATAAAAACCTGTTAAATATATAGCCTACTGTTCCTACGAGACACTAAATTATGGGAATATGTAATGTTTATCGACTCGATTAACTTTTATTGTTGCTCAGTATCTCCTGTAACAATCTACTGATCGGAGCCGTTGTTCACCTATTAAAAGTATTCCATCCCGGAAAGGCAGTTGGTAGTCCGACACGTGCTGGACAACTAGCGCCATCCGCTTTTACGCTGGAGCATGTGTTGTTGAGCAACTATCGTCATCTGTATACCTGAGCATATGTTACTGAACAACTACCACCATCCGTTTACCTGTACATTGTTGTCCACGAACAGCGGAACTAAAGTACCTGTCGGAAATGCTAAAAAATGCTTTTTGACTTATATTTAAAATTCAGAGGTATTACAGTTACTTAAATAACAAATATCACTTTAAGAAACATCTACCTAATGTAGACCGAGGGAATAAATTTAGAGACATGCCCTAAAATGTGTTTTTACTGATGAAAATACCAAAAACTGAGAAAAATAAGGGGGTAGTGGGACTTTATTTGATACAAACATTAACTGCCTGTGTTACGTCATCAGCATGCACGGTATCGACAGGTGAAATTGACACCTGAGCACACGCTCGGGGGAGGGGTCATCTCAATAGATGTTGTCTTCAAAATGTTATAAAAATATGGATGTAATTCGGTCAGTTTAATCTAGTCGTGAACATTGGCCAAAGATTTAACGAAGTCACTGGTGTAGCTTCTTTAGAATATATATATTCTTCTTCTCATAAAGTTTGTAGACCGCCCGTCTAAGTACTCGCTTGTCAAAGTTGTCAAGGATGGTTTACGTCCCGGTTTTGCTTTTGAGACGGTCCCTGTCTTGTCTGATTTGTTTACAATATTGTAAACTTGTTGGTAAGACATACCAACAGCTCTACAGGTTCTGTAATAAACCCTTTCTAAACTAATGAAAGGTTTACCTCTGTCCTTTTCAAGCACAAAAAACTACAAATAGTTGGCCATAGTGGACGCTGTGATAAAGATATGCATGCATCACGGGAAACTTATTTATCAAGACTTAAAAAGGTCCCATGCAACGTAAAACACAACTTTGCAGATTCTGATACCTTTCGGTATGGACTTACCGAAACAAATCATCAAAAATGCAAATTCAACTTATAAAGTTGAAAAATAACGCGATGAAAAAACCCGCGCGAAATCGGAATTCAAACGATTCACTAATTTTCCCCGACTTTTTCGGGGAAAACTGGTTTCAATAGCTGGTCGCGCGCAGTGACGTGCGCAGGTTCGCGCGGACTTGAAGCGGGCTGTCCGGTGAATACTCGGTGAAGGCTTTGGTGTGACCTATTTTCCTAATGTTTTGTTGATATTTTACAGGCGCGAGCTTTTTATATGTTATGACAGTAAATAAACTGTTTATATAATTTCATTTGTCTATTTCACCACACGTTCTTCTTACCGAGTCACTTTCTCAGTTCGATACTTAAAAGCAATGTCATTATTTAGCGTTGACAGAATTTCTTAACTGTGATAGATATGTCGTTGTCACAGACAAAAACTCAATGTCTTGTTTTAATAACACCTGTGTGTCTGCCTGCCTGTCTGCTAATGACAATATTCAATATACAACTGCGATCACTGACCATATGCAATTTGAACTTAACACCAATCAGGCTATACACCATAAACAAAACGCATTGATTTATGGCCCGAGTTCGGTCTCTGTCACATTATGTAATTACACAGACAGGCAGGTGTGATACTTGAACACATGACATGTTATGATGTCTGTTGATTGCAAAATGTTATACACAAAATGAGCATGTATTTACAAACCCAACATCTCTATATATATACACACACAATGAGCCGTGAGGGTATCTGTAAATGAACCAGCCTGTTACACTTTGAGTGCACACCCACCCGCTCTGGACTGGGTCTGGTATCCCGGCTGCTTCGTTTCTTGGGAAGTAAACCCAAGTACACAATATTGCACTTTTGATTTGGCGATTGTACGCTTTATAATTTATGTTTATATGTTTTTCATAACCAGCAATGTATATTATATGTCATGAATAAGGATAATTGTGTTTTAATTATGTTTGATTTTTTGGTTGCATGTGACCTTTTACATTTATATTAATATTTCTTCAATAAAGAAACGATAATTAAGTAAAGTAACACAAACATTCAACATTTATTTGTTAAAGAAAAACGTTGATTCATATTTCTTTTACACCACCTGTATTATTAGCATAAATGTAAAGACTATTTCAGATTTCTGTTGTTGAACTCTGAAAAAATCTTAAGTTGTTGTTTTGGTACCATATTCTCATCCTGTAAACCGCCCTTTAAATGCATGGGAATGTTAAATCGATTGAAAAAAAAAAATTAGGGTACACTATAGGCGAGTTGATACATTGACAACATAGTACATTTATCACCCTTTATCAAAGTATTAAGGCTAAAGAGCATTTTTCTAGCATTTCCAACAGTACTTTAGTCATCCTACGTACACTTTAATATACCAGCTCATGCCATATCCCTCACGATTCCTATACATTCACTCCATTATGACAACGCGCACCTATTAATGCAGGTTGATAGGTGCACATTTTCATCCTAGACGCACAAAATTCCACGGAGTTTAGGCCATTGTCAGGGCAAAGTCGTCTGCAGTCTTTATTATCATGTACACCGACACACCCTCCCGCCGCATACCTCAAGTTCCCGCAAATGAATAAGTCATCATAATGTCAGCTGTCTGGGGATAACCTACGCGTGGAGACAGCCTCGTTCTC